GCTTGCCGTGATCTGAAATCGACCGCGCTACACGTGCAGCTTTTTAAAAAAACATATACTTCAGCATGGTAACTTAGTTGTGCCCATAATAGCATCGTTGGTTTCGACAATGTATGTGAACAGATGTGTGTAAAATTGCTTGCTCATTTCGTTTTTGTTTGTTTTCCTAGATGCAGTTGGCTCAGATCTAGACTGAAAAATCAAGATAGTTGCTGCTAAAGACTTCCCAGTATACTTCGATTCTGTTTATCATTGTTTAAGATGACTTCGACAAGAAGTACCGCCACTAAGAGTATGGCAGTACTTCTGATGCGGTGGGCTCAGGAAAAGCTTACGTCTCATTCGTGACGACTCCTTAGATATGGCGTTTTGTCTGAGCAGTCGCTATGATAACTGTGAGCATGAGTTACTTACTCTGCCACTAGCTTCCAAGTTTTCCTTAAAAGGGCCCTGCAGCACTTCTTGAGCTTGGTCTAAAAACGCTCCCGGTCGATAGTCTAGGCTTCAGAGAACACGCAAGCCAAATATTATAGCGCAGCACATCGCCTGGCGTTCACAATGGATTCTCAATGTCAGCTAAAAATTGCTTTTTTCTTCGTTCGACAAATGTCGGAACAAGCTAAAAAATCACTCGTTACAGCCATTGTATCAGGCATTGGCTGATCTCAGCATGGAGAGCTAAGTCGTTACTCGGCCCGCCGTGAGAGGCCGCGACATGTCAACACGTCTTCTTTTGTCTTCCTATGCCGTCCTTCCTTACATAGCTGCTAGTGCTTTCGCCGGGACGGGATAAATGAGAATGCCATTGCAGCGTGCGACAAACCTTTGTAACTGCTCGTATACTGGGTGGACAATAAAAATATTTGCGGCGGTGAATTCGCGAGGCAATAAGCTCCTTTGTTTAATCGATTCCATGGCTACTTGAAAAAGTGTTGCAGAGCCCCTTTAAAACATTGCTGTAACATTCATGATTGTGTTAAAACAGACAGCTCTTGGTCATCACGGTCTGTATTCACAAAAGCATCATAACCTAAATATATTCGTAACAGAATATTTTAGCTTATGTGGATGCAGGACATATCATAGCTAAAGGCTCGACAGGCAGAATGGTTGGTAATTGAACCCGCCACAGTGATTATAGTGCTTTATTGCTTTACTGCTCGGTCGTGAGATTGAATCCCGGCCGTATTTTTCAAGGAGGTGAAGCCTCATGTACTTAGGTTTAGGTACAGGTTAAAGTACGCCAGGTAATAAAAACATTTTAGAGCCCTTCAATACGGCGTCTTTCACAATCATATCGTTGTGTTGAGTCATTTAACCCTAATAATAATGATTGTTTGGTTATCCATACTCGTTCAGTGAATTTGAAGTGCGGGAACAAAGGACGAAGAGAAACCAGTGCTCGTGTTTTGAGGTTCTTCCTCGTTCTCCCATTTCCAAGTTTGCTGAAGGGACACTTTACAAAAGCCGTCCAGCCAATGCCAAGAATAACTTACAAAACAGAAATTAGAATCAACATATTTGCACAGCGCAAGACTACGAGTAGTTACGACGTAACTACAGAAGAAACAAGGACAGAAAGAACGCTGTCTTATTCAAAGCATCTGTCTTATCAAGAAATTAGAAATTTTGCGAATTTGGCACCAGGGATTTTGACATATCGAAGGAAAACGTGCTTTTAACACTAGGTCTTAACCGCCGCATGTTTTTGTTGCTTTTGCATAGCGTTTAGGATAAAGTGCTAACCATATGAGGAATGTATTGCATTAATTAGATTATTTCTCCACCAGTTCCGGACAATTCAGGACACTGCCTGTTGGACTTGCTTGGCGACAATAACTGTGGCAGCAAAGAGACAGTGCAACACATACTACTAGAATGCCCCGTGTACCGCGACTATAAAGACAACTGTTCGAAAGAAAAATGGACATGATCTGCCAAGAACAATTAACGTTGCGCAACGTATTAGACCCTGTGCGCACACATTCAAAACATCGTTAATTAAAACTGTCATTAATCACTTACCTACATTCAAAACGGCCATTAATCACTTACCTATCCGAAATTGGCCTTATCGGAAGGCTCTAACGGTATAAAATACCTCACATTGGAAAGCTTTGATTTACCTCATATTCTATTTGTAAAATAGTTTTATCTGGTTCACTTGGTCACCACTTTTTTATATTATTATTCCCTCTCTACTGAAATCTTTTACTCACCCTTTCCATCACTATACATAGTAGCATGCCAGCGATATATAGACGCCGGCGAAAATCTGTTTTTCTTAAAGAGAGTCTCCCTCTCTAAGGAAAACGTACTCGGGAGAGGGGCCGTACAGCGTCACAGTGATGACGGATACCGCAAGACACTGAATTACAGTCACGTTGTGTGTGTACGCGCTATTTCTTTGCACCTTTGGCTTTTGCACTCCATTTGCCCTTGTGTGCGCCAGGCTCGTCTGCTGGCCCGAAGATTGCGAGGTCGATCTCGGCCGCATTTAGATGGAGACGCAATGCTGGAGGCCCTTGTAATGTGTGCTGTGAGTGAACAACACCACCTGATCAAAATTTCCAGAGCCCTCTCCTGCGGCATCCGCCCTAATCATATCGTGGTTTAGCATACCAGTTATACTGAACTCTGACATTCTTGCTTTTGCCCACTCTCGTGTTTGACATCCTCGGTGGCGCGAACAAGCTTAGTGTGGAGTTTTACATTTCTATTTTTTTCACTATACAGGCCGCCTTATTCTCATCGGTCAACTCTGTGCATCGTTCGATACTCGAAGAGACCAAACTGATGACTGAGTCTTCAAGCTTATTATATCCATACCAGATGAAAAAATCACAAGAAAGGCTTCAGGCTCGGACTATTCCGAAAGGGAAAACTTTGAGCCAGTGCTGAAGCTGTGCCTATAATTAACGGAGGTGAGGGGCCGATGACATAAGCTGCCCTTGTTGCTGGATTGACAAGTCATTTTGAAACTTATTGCACGGCATTGACTGCTCTTTCTAAGAGCCCAGATCTAATATTCGTATCACTGTTTGTGCGGATAGGTTAAATCATGTCGCTTTACGAAGAGATGAGATCACTGAGCTGAAACTGTATACCTCCTGTGCCATTGGCCACGCTGAAAATGAAATGACGAAACATGAGCGTCCTTCTAACTTACCGGGCGAATCTGTCTGTACGCTTTCATTCGTCTTCATTCGCCCAACTATGAAATTTATATCAGGATTTGCTGATTATGCCATGAAATATTGCTCTCATTAGAAGTACATTAGATGACAGGCTAAAGAATGATCTAGCACAGATTCTAGACGGGCCAGATGGTTTTTCATGCTCTAATAGCTGGCTTCTGGTGGGCCGCAAATTTTTCTCCTAAGTGCGATACATATAACTTAGTGCATGAGTAGTGTTCGCTTTGCGCTGTTGTGCTGTAAATGGAAAAGTAAAGTGCAAGTGTTTGGAGGTTGTACTGTGAATATAGACGCAGGATTCCTTCTATACTTATATTCACCTGCTGTCCCAGTAACACCAGAACATAAAAATGTGCCATAATATATAGACAGCTGTTCCAATCGATAATTAGTCTCAGACACTATCGCTGTGTTCGGGGGTTGTTCGAAGCAGTGTCACAGGTGACAACCAGCAAGACGTCATTTCATGGTAAGACAGATGCTTGGACTAGTAGGTGATTTGGAATCAACATATTTGCTCAGCGCAATAAAATAGCTACGGCGTAACTATGGAATAAAGCGCTCTTTCCCTGTACGTGTCCCTTCCTTCCATAGTTAAACTGTGACTATTTTCTTGCGCTGTGCAAATATCCTATTTCATGTACTCACACCCCTGGACTGAGTTAAGAAAGGTTTTCAATCGTAAGCTTGATTTTTGATTGGAGATTCGCCAACAACGTGTTTAGCATTGGTAGAGGCTGTAATGGGCCTTTAGGATAAATTATAGGGCAAGATCTTTTTATCAATTTGGATTTGTTACCGAACGCCTTGCACTATATAGAGCTTTTCGCAATGAATATTGAGTGAATCCGTGCTTTGAAAACGTCACTAGCGAAGGTGACTAGCTAATGGCAGTGTGAGCTGAAAGACGCAAAACTTGGTGAATTCGGCTCAATAGCAGGGCCACGTTAGCAGGTTTCAGACTTGCATCTCGAACACATCTGCTTGAACATATCAAACAGTTCGAGCCTCGGCTGCGTTCTGTGTGCAGCGTGCAACTGTAACTTTGATGCTAATTCAGCCATGACTTTTGTAAAACCTAGTTTTTCAGTAATTCCAACGAAGCCTTCGATTTGAGCAAAATTCACGACCGACATCCAGAGCCTGAAATCAGGTAGAGGGGCAGATTTGCGATCGCGCCTAATAATTGGGCCACTCGGCGGGTCAATCACACGCACAAAAAAAAAAAAACACCAATAAAGAAAAAAAAACATTGTTGATTCGGGCTCGGGATTGCTGCAGGAGCTACGATACATGACAAGAATGCAGCTTACGCAGAGCACAGTAAACAAGTAAGTGGTAACAGATCAATAGCACGCCAAACTATAAAAGATTGCGCTTATGTTGACGTTTTCTCTTTGATATTTCGGTCGTGCAGCTAATAGGGGACGCAGTTCAGAAACCTTTCTTCAAGGTGCTTTTAACTTCAGCAGTGCTGTTTCTTGGGCGCAATGTGTTTTTGGAATAGCGCAGTGTATTTTTGGACGCGCTTGATGGAGACAAGGCTCCACTTATGATATGATCAGCATGAAGGTCGGCCGAAGTTGTTTTTTACGAAAAAACTATATCAATACGAACCCTGAGATGATATTACCAACAGAGCCGAACCGGCATCTTGTTGAACAGACAGTTAGGCTGCTGTCCCCAGGGAGACCTCAGCAGTGACGTCGACCAATGGGAGAGCGAGTGTTCATCCTTAAGAACCGCAACGCTTTGTTCTGGTCGATGGGGCTAGAGTGAGAGATGCCGATGGTCGCCACGTACCTGCGCGCACCTCGGCTGCGAACGCGACGGGTGGCCATGAGCAGGGAAGCACGTCTTCGACGTCCAGGCTGGGCACGAGTCCCGGCGCCTGCAGGGCGCGCAGGAGCAGCGCGCCTCCCCCTTCGGCAGCCGAAGACCTGCTCGGGCTGCCCGACATGGGACCGCCGCACATCGGGCCTTCTCGTGCGGGGTGCGCGCCACCGTCGTCTATGGGACGTCCGGATGATTCCTCGCTGACAGGTCGTCTTTCGAAGACCGCGCACTTTTATACGTGCCGCCACTTCCACGCGCAGCTCGCTCCACACCACGGGCGCGCTGCTGCCGCCTCGCGCAGCTGACGCGCCACTGATTGCGACTCCCGGGCAGACGCGCCACGCGAGTGACTCGCGCCGCCGCCGCCGACGCAGCTGGCGCCCCCCGGCGGAGGAGTCGATCGGAACGAGGCTTCTTTTACGGCAGCCGCTCGCACGAAGCGGAACAGTTTGTTGTTGACCGTCTGATGGCATTCTGTATTGACACTTTAGCAGTAGAAGCTTGCCAAAGTACGTAATTATTCCAAGGTTTTAGGCGTATGGCTTAAATACACCTAGCTTTCACAGGTACAACTGTTTCCTTTCAAAGAAGGGTCTCTCTATCTCCAGGGGACAAAAATTCGCAGTAAAAACCATAACATTTATCCTGCCGTTTTGGTCGGCGACTAGCCTTTATCAAACATGAGATAGATTCGATAAAGGATGGTGCCCGGCCGCAACTTCACTCCTTACGGTTTTAATTTTACTATGTGCCTGAATTTTGAAATCACCTGAAACTCTCCACATCTCCTTCCTTCTCTATCTCTCCCTCTCAAACACACACACACACACACACACACACACACACACACACACACACACACACACACACACACACACACACACACACACACACACACACACACACACACACACACACACACACACACACACACACACACACACACACGGACTTGTTTTTATTAATTGAAAAAAAATCAATAAAGCAGGAAATAAACATGGAAGGATAAACAACTGTCCGCAGTTGGTGGCGAAAGCTTGCAAGCGATACGTCGCGAATTTCGATCCTACAGCGAGCAATATTTTCGAAAAGCGCAAGCGCTGACAATCTTGGAGCACTGTCGTTCAAAGATTGGTATGCAGCTATGAGCGAGTGAAAGCACACACTAAGATATACGCGTTAGTTGCCCTCATGCCGTTGTGCTAACAGTTTCTAAAAGTAATACGCCCTTTCTAAATTCACGAGGCCATTCAAACAGCTATCCTAGAGCAACCGTCCTAAACGGAACTCACTCTGCCCGCTCTGCGTTCTCCGACGCGACTTAAACGCCAGTCCTGGATCTCCCTCTTATTTGGAAGAATCAGTGACTCCCAGAATGAGAATTCGTTGCCAGCGATTAGTTCAAATTGATAGCACTGATACCGTTCTATATGTATGTTTGTGAAGAGACAGAATCGCTTTTCGAGGCGTAAACCTCGACATTGGCTTCCTGGACGACAAATGGCCCCGAGCGATTGACTTGAGAGGCGGCCAATAAGCTATCGTCAACAGCGAGACCATTCATTAAAGTCGCGCCATCAGGAGCGTTCATGCGTCGAGTGTGAGAAGTGACACTTGCTTGCCCTCTGAGCTGCGACGAAACTGCTCGCTAGTACCGCGCAGTACTGGCAGAGTCGGATGTGGTCGGTGCTAGTCGGGGATGAATATAATGTGGCTTCTCGCGCCTAAAAGACTGATTATAAATGGGCTTCTTTGTGATCCAATCTTCGGCTACTATTCGCGGTACTGCGCAAAATGTAAATGCGCACGTGTTATGAGAGTAGAACGACGTTAATGGCCGAGATAGGCACTTGCTACTCGTGCACTGTTTATTTTTTTTTACGGTCATTGACCTCAGTGTCGGTTGTGTTTATTGATTGTGAAAGCGGACGCCGTTGAAAGTCAAAGCTACAGGAACAGCGGTATGACGTAAAGTACTGCAAAAAGAAAAAAAAAACACACACGGAGATAACATTAAAAATAAAGAAAGAATAGCAGATATATCATTATAAAAATAGGTGAAAAATACCGCGCACAGCTTTAGGTACCTTAGTCAACTACAAGTGTGCACGATATATATATATATATATATATATATATATATATATATATATATATATATATATATATATATATATATATATATATATATATATATATATATATATATATATATATATATATATATATATACCATGCACCATATACCTTCTACCATGCACCAGGACGCCGCTCAGCGTTTGCTGAGCGGCGTCCTGGTGCATGGTAGAAGGCACGGTACGGGATCGAAGCTCGAAGGGCATCGAATGCGAACCAAAGATGTTTGAAGGGGACAGCACTCTCCACCAAATTGTTAAGACGTTTATTGGTGGACACTCGTTGATGAATCACGACAGCGACAGTCAATGCGGGGACCGACTCTCTGCACGAGCTGCTCTTCTTCTTATGAAAAGGGGCGACCCACTAGAAGGCACTCGAGAGGACGACCCACTGTTCGAAGGCTTTGCCACAATATATATATGTATATATATATATATATATATATATATATATATATATATATATATATATATATATATATATATTAAATAATGCGCACTCAAGCTCGATTTTTGAGCACCATAGCAGGAGTAGCTATCCCCTTTCAAAGATGAAGATGTTCGACATCACATGTGTACAGTAAATGGTATTCATTGTAATATGATTCTGAATACGAAATGACTGAATTAATGTGTGGTTTTGTCTTGCCTTGTAATTTATTCGTGTAAGTTTTTGGCATGCCAGTAATAACGAATAAACACATTGGTTAGAAATATGTATACGGAAACTGTTTTTTTTTTCATCAAGTACCCCAACGTAGCACTACGGCTATTACATAGAGAGGCAGGGGAGTAAATAAAACGAAACACAATTTTTATAGAGGAACGATCATTGCAGATTCAATACAATGATATGCCCCGCCACGGTGGTCTAGTGGCTAAGGTACTCGGCTGCTGACCCGCAGGGCGCGGGTTCGAGTCCCGACTGCGGCGGCCGCATTTCCGATGGAGGCGGAAATGTTGTAGGCCCGTGTGCTCAGATTTGGGTGCACGTTAAAGAACCCCATGTGGTCTAAATTTCCGGAGCCCTTCACTACGGCGTCTCTCATAATCATATAGTGGTTTTGGGACGTTAAACCCCACATATCAATCAATCAATCAATCATCAATCAATACAGGGATATGGTACAGACGGTACAGTAATTCGTAAAACGTAGTAACAGTTGCTATTACAAGAGTGAGCAATGAAGAAAGAAAGATTGTTACTCAAAGCTACAGGATGCCAATTACGTCAGCAACGTCTAAATGAACAAAGAATGCTCAGTTATTCAGTTAATGTGGCGATTCTAGAAGGCAAGTCATCGCATCGTATTGCATTGCCTGCTAGCACAATTTTTCGGCGCCAAGGACCGCAACCAGTGATAAAGCAGCTCTATGCGTGGTCAGATACACAATCTCTGACATCGATTGGGCCACGCCAGGTCCACTGAGCTTACACGCGCGAGCAGGTTGGTCCTCACTGCACCGAATTGCAGTCGTGAAGCGAAAGTGGGCTGCTCGCCTTGGAATGCTAATTCGAGTGGAACAACACTCGAATCCCGTTTGTTAAAGCTCAGTTGCTGGAGAGAACGGAATTCGTCTTGGCGCGATCGACGCATCTTCAAGACAGGCCGCGTCGAACGGGGCTAGAAAGGCGACCTCTCAGAGACAAACTAGCGGGTAAGGCATCGCAATCAACGCCATCTATCTCGAAGCCACAGGAAAGCGTTCAATTCGGTCTCTCCTTGCGCCCACATCTCGCTCACTTATATGAGAAGGCGGGGGTTGGGGTGGCAATAGGAGCCTGAACGGACTGTTCCCGTCTCGTGACGAGGGGGCAGAAAAATTAGCGACAGGCAGGTCGTTACAGGCCGTCGCTGATGAATACCGCCTGCCGCGCCCGCTCTGCTACACAACAACCCTCGCACTGCTCCGACATAGCGGGGCACGCCGGGTGCGGAAGTGCATAACCAATAAAAAGAAGGCAATAATTGCGTAACAGCCAAAAGAAGACGACAAAAGCCGAAAGAAGTAGATTGAGGGCAAAGTAATTTGGGAGTCCTCTCTCCTCGGATTAGAGATGGCAGGTTTCTTCCTATACGTATTCACTTGCTTCGCCTCAACCGGATACAGGACAATTAATGTTTCTCCCTTCATTACATTTCGGGGTTCTTTTTATTGCTTCTTCTTTACATCGCGATTAACGACTGACGCTCGCGAAGCCATCATCAACGAGACACGGAGCAGAAGCATGCGAAGCTTGCTCAAGGCCACGTGCTTTCAGCAGGTCCGCGGAGATTGAGGTTCAGAGGCTGAAGTTGCAGGACGTTGTCCACTTATTCGAGTAGAAAGTTGAATCTGGGGAACTTAAATGGAAAGCGAGGGAGAGAAACTTGAACAATGACGCTTAAAAAAAAAATACGAAACAAAAATAAGACGGAAAAGTTCGTCATGCATTGTCTTGTAGATGAGATAAGAAATGATTGTCATAATGCTGTGCATTGAATTGTCTTCGTAATTCCAGAAGTGATGATTACGATGAAATTTGCATATTTAGAGTTGCCACAGTTCTTGAAATCTACAACTTGGCGCTACTGAACTTTAAAATGAAGAGTAAGGAGGAAGTACGAATATGGGCTTTAATATTGATTATGTTGTTCAACCTTTAGTTTTCTACAATAAATGGTAATTCAAATGAGCATTGAGCAATGTCAAGAGAAATAGAGGAAGTGACCTCATGATCCGCACCGTTCTGCGTGGTACCGGTATGTGGATGAATGTGGTACGCAGTTGTGTGCAGCCCGAACTGCTAATGCTATCTATGAAAATGATACTTATACCATGCGCAGTCAATAACGAAATTTTATTTTCTGAAATGTAAGCAGTCATGCAAGCATCATTCGCACTGCGCAACTACAATGAAACTGCAATGCACTTAAGCTAGGAAATCATGTCCCTTACGATTTCTTTTGCTTAATTGTCGGTTGGTTTAGCTGTTTACAATACAGAAAAAATAACGCGT